CCGCCTTACACCCGGGTGAACACTGGCCTGGCATTTCCTGGGGGCTCCCATGCCACTGAGAGCCCCACCAGGCCACCCACTCCCAGCAGGGTGTAGTTTCAGGTCATACCCAGGACCAGGAGCCTCCTACCATCCCCTACAGTTCCTCCCTTACCTCCAGATAAAACTCAACAGCCCTCTGACCAGGTATTGTTATTACCTACCCTCCAGCAGCCAAACTGCCTTGTTTATTTAGGCAGCCCTGAACCTAAAATGGCTGCCCTCATTAGGCACCTGGAGGCTGCCAGCTCCAGGGCCTTAAAGTAGCAGGCACACAGTGCCCTGCCACACTGTGGATGACACCAGCCTGGGGGGAGTATTAGATACAGTGGTGTGTAGGGCTAGGATTCAGAGAGACTTTGACAAATTGGAGGATTGGACCAAAGAAATCTCATGAAGTTCAGTAAGGAGAAGTGTAAAGTCTTCCAGCTGGGATGGAACAATCCCATGGACTGCTACAGTCTGGGGAGCAATTGACAAGCAGGAGCTCTGCAGAAAAGGACCCGGGGGATACAGTGGACAATCAGCTGAATATAAGCCAACAGTGTACCCTTGCTGCAAAGAAAGCTAATGGCATACTGGGCTGCCTTGGTAGAAGCACTGCCAAAAGACTGAGGGAAGTGATTATTTCCCTCTGTTCAGCACGGGTGAGGCAACATCTGGAGTACTGTATTCAGTTTTGGGCCTCCCACTATAGAAAGGATGTAAGCAAATTGGAGAGTCCAGCAGAGGACAAGAAAAGTGGTTAGGGGGCTGGGAGACATGACCTATTTAGTTTGGAGAAGAGAAAACTATGGGGGGATTTAACAGAAGCCTCCAACTACCTGAAAGGTGGTTACAAAGAGGATGGAGCTAGACTGGTCTTAGTGGTGGCAGATGACAGAACAAGGAGCAATCATCTCAAGTTGCAGCAAGGGAAGTTTAGGTTAGATAGTAGGAAAAACTCACTCACCAGGAGGGTAGTAAAGCACTGGAACAGGCTACCTAGAGGTTGTGAAATCTCCAACCTTAGAAGTTTTTAAGACCCAGCTAGACAAAGCCTTGGCTGGGATGATCTAATTTGGGATGGTCCTGCTTTGAGTAGAGGGCTGGACTAGGTGACCTCCTGAGGTCCCTTCCAACACTAGTTTTCTATGACAGAAGGAACATTATGATTATCTATTCTACACTCCTATATAAACATAGGCCCTAGGCTCTCTCCCAGTAATCATTACATCAAGCCAAGAGTTCAAGGATAGTTTCATAGTTTCATAGATTTAGGGTCGGAAGGGACCTAGTAGATCTTCTAGCCCGACCCCCCGCCAGGGCGGGAGAACAACAAAACCCCAAA